CTCCCCCCCCATCCGTTAAGACTGTATCTGGCCATAGGCCCATAAGCGGGGCTACTTTCATTTCCGCCTTCAACGTCCCCGCAAGCAACGCACTTGCTTGAAATTGGCACCGAAAGCTATCTGAAGACCCACTGAAAAGGGGAGATATGGGGAACCCTCTAGAAACCCGTTTTTTGAAAGCTGTGCAGAACCACATTAACAAGGGGGAGATGCAGGGAGGCCGGGCCTGTCAAACCATAGGTGTCCTTTTAGGGCAAAGAGATGGCCGGTAAACCAGGGGGCCATGCATGTGTCAAACCGTCCGCGGCGAGGCTCCGAGTCGTGCCCCCGCCACCGCCAGGCTAGCGAGCTGGTGGCTAGGGGCCCCCTCAGCACTGACCGCCACATCCCACGCCCCGAAGTCGCGGCAAAAGTCCCCGCGGCTCTCTGCCTCAGGCTGCGAGTGGGCAGCTGGTGGATCCAACTTGTTTTCCGACCTTTATTTCTTGGGCTTCCTCCACATACGACCCTGCTTCAGGAGAAAACAAGGGGGCAGTGGGGTAGGTAGGGTTGGGTTGGCAGAAATTTGATTGTGTCACTTGGACCGAAATTGGGAAACCAAAGGTTGTCAGAAGACAACAGAAATAACTTGCTGAAAGAACAACCCCCTTTCGATTGTCCCAAAGATGGCGTTTGACCCCAGAAGAAGGGCACATGTAAGGAGAATTCGGAAGCCAAGGAATGCAGGGCGGTTCTTTGGGGTTCCTCGCGTTAACTCTTTGAGGCCATGACTAAAAATGGTTGCAAAATCAGGGAAACTTGATCGACTCGCTTTGAGCATGTGAATCAATGATTGACTCCTTTCCCGGAAGGAAAACATGCGAAAGGGGTTTCGAATCCACTGAACCTGGTGTTCTCCCCAGCCCGAAGATGGTTTCAAAAGGGATTCCTTCCGTTCACCTGTGGAGCAACGAAACGAAGCGGCTCGCCGGGCTGCCAGTGGCTCCACAGCTGCAGCCCACACCAGCCCCGCCACCGCGGCGAACTCGCTGCTGTCTCCTCGGCGAAAACTGGTCACTTGGAGGCGGCTGGGGAAAGAGCCGAGTTGGTGTTGTGTTTTGGTTTCATAGGATTGCAACCAAGTCATTGTCCAAGATAGTTTATGTCTGTCAAAGGTTGACAGAACAAAGGCTGATCCAATTCAGTGAAGGGCAAGTGAAGAAATGTTGTGGTGTTTGGAAGTCGTCATTCTCCAAAAAGTTGAAGGACATTAAAGCGAATTCGTGGACTTCAGTGATTTGCCGAGAAGTCGACAGGACCACACCTCTCAGGGCGACACAATACCTGGTATAGGGGGAATCTGTTTTCCTACAAGTTGAAAGGTATACATGAGAAATAGTCAGCTTCTTCCCAGTCACACCTAGAGCAACCATTGTTGTCTCCTAGTTGAAGGGTATAAACTGGGAAGAAAAACGGGTGTTCAAACAAGCTTGAATGGCACATGCCGTGAAACAGCCGGTTTTCCCACTGCCACCGCCAAGTCTCCAGTGAGGCCGCGGCCCAAGAGCTCGGCCACGCGGCGGCTAAGAGGCGCCAAGACGTCCAGCTGAAGGGAGGCGGACGCCCAAAGGATGGCGGCGGCTTGGCGCATGTCCTCTGCGACTTGATTCGGCAAACTTTAATTTGCTTAAGTTCAATGTATTACCAAAAAAAAACACGTGCTCTACCAGCAGTGACAAATTCCCCTTTAAAGCCAAAAGGGGGGAAACAAATATTCGACAGCAAATGACAGAAGACCAACACAGCACACAAAAATGCTGTTTGAGGGTTTTGTGGAGTAACTCCCAAAAAAAGGCCACCACAAAAGACCAGCTTGACAAAAGAGTAAGGCTGTTGTCTGGCAATGTGTCCAGGTCTTCGGCTCTCCGGTTCACCTGCCCTGCCAGGCGCTCCAAATTATCCTCGCGATTTTGCGCAGGCACGGGTTCCCTATGTTCGGGCGATTTGGGAGACGCTGCCCGTTGGAAACGAAAATGGGGATGTTTCAATAGTGGCTTTAACATGGTTTACCAGGCGTCCCTCTATTTCCCCTTTAAACATCGCGGCGATTCATGGTCACTTTAAATTGGCAACCAAAAGGTGATGGTGATGTTTAAAACCACCCTTGAAGAGAAAATTATAAGGAATCCTGTTGCGTGTCCAAAGCGATTTGGAAGATGCTCCCTTTTGACAAAAAAACTTGAGGCGGTCCGTTTCATCACCACGCAAAAGGGAACCTGCCTCGAATTGTGCAAACAGGTGATGTGTAAAACAAGGGAAAACCAGGAAACTCAAAATACGGCGAGCTTTGGTCTAGGCCAAGTTCGTGTCAATTTGGGATTTCTTTCCTTTCTAGTGTTCGGTTGCGTTCTGTCAGCTGTTTTTGTCATAGCACGGCATCTCGCTCAAGGCTCATGTCTTTCGGTGGTTTCTTGCATGCCCTCCACTTGCAAGTTTCTGTCTCCACTCTAAAGCCTTGCGCCTTCTTGGTTTGAGTTGCTTCCGCTTGGTGCTCGGCTCTAGCACAGCGCTGCTGGGCGCGTTTGGATTCATACCTGCTGAGTCGAAAGTAGACTGGATGGTTCGTGGACAGAACGCCAAATCAGCCGGCTAGTGCTGGGAACCCGCCCAAGTTGACCAGTTGTACAATGGCCATTCCGGAAAACGTGTTTGCTCCCTGTAGGATTCTTGAATTCCGTCACTCCCAAGTGCTTGGTTAACGTTGAACCCCAAACCTAGGTCTTAACTATCTTGTTTGCTCAGGAATTAAGTCAAGAGCAAAGATGCAAGCTGTAGTCAACAGAACAGGACCTACCATAGAAGATAACCGCCCATGGAAGACTGCCAGTGAAATTGGCTCCATTACAGTGACATCCCTAACATTCCTGAACATTCAATGCTGATTTGCAGCAAACAACTTGTATTTTGTTTAAATGGAACCACTTCAATGGACCCAAGGGCCAAACTTGAAAGGCGATTTGTTGAGGCAACCACGCGCTTCCCCAGGGAATCCAGGACTCAAACAAGGGCCGAGGGCCAGAACAAGGTGACACGGCTTATTTGGAGCCCGGCGGAACACCGCTGTTTCGTATGGCCTGCGTGGGGAATTATCAAGACAGGGTGTTGCAAAAGAGATCACCGGCAACAAAAAATGGTGTTCGGGGGGAACTATCAAGACAAGACGACGCCTAAGCGATCACTGGCAACAAGAAAGAGTGTTTTGCGCTCGCACTCACCAAAAAACAACTACCGCCACTAACCTCCCTCCCCAGACACAAGGCATGCTTGTCATTGCGAAACATGTAAATCCTGGGCCAAACTTCCTTCTGAATGGCAGCGTGAAGGGAAACACCCCCAAGATCTCCCAAGTAGTGTTGAGAACCTCTCAAACTGCAATGTTCATCACCTTCTGTAGGTTCAATTGACAAAGACATTTGATTCCAAAAGGTCTCTCCTTCTGGACCTGCCAACCGAATCGCCATGACACAGGCACGTCACGCAAGAGGCCCTCTCCGGCTCCTTGTCGCGGCACTTCATGCGCGCCAGCGCCCCCAAGGTCCGCGCCAGCTGCCGCGCTGGCAGCTCCCGCCGCGCGGCCTCGCAAAGCACCGCCTCTGCCAAGGGCCCAAAGTCCTGCGAACGAGCGGGGCGCGCGGGGTGAGTTGACCCCTGACGTATAGCGGGAATCTTCCAACGGAATCAACCCAGGGCCAATGGGACTCATGGGAACCAGCTTGACCTGGGAATGGGAACCCCTGCCTTTTTAGGCAGTCCTTGACTTAGCATTGACAAGAATGATGATTTTGCTTCCGACTGAGTCAACTTGTGAAAAAAAAAAGCACGGCATGAAAAACGATCTTCCCATACTTTTCAAAGCCCAGTACCTGGGAACGTAAGCTGTTCGGCTTGCCTTATTTGGAAAGGGGCGAGGGGAAAATTGGTGACTTCAGGGTTGGCCCTTTCACAACCCTCAAGCACTATCCTCAGAGGGTACTTGGACCATCTTGGACCCAGTTCCATCCCCGTTGGCTTCCTTTTGGAAGACGTAAACATCATGAATCATGAAGCATTCTGCATCGTGCTGGAAAAGCAGAATACAAGCGGCCAAACAGTTAGACACGTGTCAGCCTACAAACGTACTTGAATTGGGTTTTCAAGGATCCCAAACCCCAATCGAATCGTGCAGGCCCTTACAGCAGCCGAAGACAGCGAAGTATCCAGTTGCCCTTGTAGAAAAAGAGGCCCAATGCGGCAGTTTCCAGTTGCTGTAGAATAGCCCGCGAACCCAAACCAAAAAATAGCATTTGGGAAATAGGCATTTGGGTCTGTGTCTTTAGATGGGTGAACATCAAAATCATGGCTGTTTTGCCCTTTGGCTCCCCTTCCGACCTGTTCTTGGTACCCTCAAAGGGACACACTCAGTTAGAGGCTGGAATCCACTGAGCAACTTGGGACAGGCGCTGTCCTTGGCCCGGGTCTGGCAAGCTGCAAAGATGGCCGTTGCTCGAGCCACCGCCCCCAGGTCTTCCTAGCGAATGGCTTGAGGACACCCTCCTTGCCTTGGTTTCAAGGAAAAAACAAAAGGAACATCACCATTCGTAGGGTCCCCGTCGCATACCCCTTCCTGTGGTGGTTGGAGGGTTGGAGTGGTGTGGGGTGGGTTGGCTTCAGCTAGCCGCGTTTGCTTTGGTTCAAAGTTGGTAGTTCCCCTTGCATGCAAGAAGAGAAAGGGCTTCAAATCCTGAATTCACCGATCCAAAGCCCCAGCTCAATCAGGGGTAATCTGGATCAGGTGTTTGAATTCGGGAGGGCAAGGTGGGCTTGCTTTGCTTTAGTGTTGTTGCCCTACGACGTGCTAACAGTGACACCTTGCCACAGCCAAGCCTCACACCTGTTCGTCATCTGAAATGGCAGTGAATCATATGTTCTGACTAATTTCATGTTCAGTAGTGCGTCTTGAAAGAGACCCCATTTTTTGACCCAAGAAACATGCGACAAACAATCTGAGTTCAGGCCTTTTCAACGGCGTCCACAGAGGGACAACCGGTAAAAAGCTGTTCAGTGCAACAACTCGTAACGACCAATCCCTGAAAGAACGACAATGTGGCCGACAATCTCCAGCGTCCTGTAAAATGACCCCAGATTCCATTTGCTTGTTTGTCTGGAACTCTTTCTTGTAACAGTCATTACAGTGACAGTATGGTGCTAATTAGGATGTGCTAGGTTCCCTTTGACACCAACTGGGGCAAATAATTTGTCAAACAATATATTCTTCAGCAAATGGGAGCCAGGGTCATTAACAGGGTCGCCCAAGTTCACGGCCGAGTAGGTCTCGGCCAACCTGCACCGAGCTGCAGGGCTAAAGGACGCAATGCGGCGCATGGACTGCACGGAGAGGCGTAGGATGGCGTCCTCCTGCCGCGGAGTGGCGACCCTTTGGCGCGAAGTCAAGGGGCCGGGGTGACAACATAAGGACTTGACCGACCTCTTGGGACATTGACCAAAAACTCGCCATTGGAAAACAACATATACATGTTTTTGCTCAACTCGCGCTGGTTGAATTGAGCTATTCATGCACATCATTCACTGAATACGGTTCCTCAGGTGAATCCGAAGCCAATTGGTATATCTATAACTTGCTGGTTTTCAGTAGGGAATCCCCAAGGATTCTAGTAATGAACCAGAACCCCTGAAAGCTGAAAGGAGACCACCAGTATGGTTCAGTTCCAGTTCGGATTCCCTGGTTCTCTCACTTCCTGAGATTGGCCAAAACAAGTCCAAGCTTTTTGTTTGCCACAAACATGGCCTTTGAAAAGAAAAATCGTCCAGGAACTCAGGGAGTGAGACTGAGCAACCCATGCTCCGCCCCACCTCCAGCCACCCGGGCCGTGCGTTGGGCGGGCGCAGCGCCGCTAGGCCCCAGAGGCACGTGGCCAAGCCCTGAGGCGCCAGATCTCGGCAGCGGTCCACTACCTGGCCAGCGGAGTGGCAGCTTAGCTCCGGGAATTGGGATACCATCTCCTTGGCTCCCTACCGCGTGGATTTTACTGGGGCGCCTTTTGTAAAATTGATCTAAAGGGAGGCTCAAAGGCAAAACACCCAACTATGGGTGGCCCAATTCCCTTGAGTGAAGGGCTTCAGGGACGAAGGGCTTCAGGGACTCACCCGGACCAACAGTTTGGGGGGGGGGGATAGGCAAGGCCTTGACTCGTCATTTTGCTGCTTCAGGCTGGTTGCCAACTCACAAAGCAACCTGCACCGCTTATACGGACCTATGGTGAGGCTCCACGTCAGGGCGATTCAGAATTGTCACACAAAACACAATTGCAGAACACACATGATAATTGTATTGCCTGGACAACAAAGAAAACAACTAGTAACTACGTACAGGGGACCCTAGAGGCGGTCACTTGTCTACATAATATGTGGTTGTGTCCGGTTCCTCACCTCAAATGCCCTGGCGGTTCCTGACCTCCGGACGAAGGATCTGGAAATCAAAGGTTGACCGGAATGACACAAAACTGAAAGAGCGCCCAACCAGCAGGGTGACAAGGTCGATTCGCCTCCAACTGAGTTGCTGCCGGTTGAAGAAGCTTCAACCGACCAACAACTTTCTGTCCGAGGCGCGTGGGGCAGCAAGGAGCGCAGCGCATCTTCGTTCCGGTTCCGCAAAGAGGCCATGGCCCACAGCAAGTTGGTCATCGCCTGGCGGGCCCTCGGCTTCCCATATTTTGCAGCTGTGAAAACCCAAATCTGAGCCCTGCGGAAGCCTTAAAGCAGCCAACATCGCCTTCCCTGCAAAAAGTCAACCCCATGATATAGGAGCTGATGGTTGGCAAGGGGTACAACGATGTGTGTTGACACTGGATGAAGGTTGGCTCTGACATCTTTGAACTCCATTGGAGAAAGTCGAGCCGGCATAGCTAAAACGATGGTTGCCAATGCTGGTGACACGGTGGTGGTGTCGTCTGAACCCACATCATCCGACAACATGTTGACATGTTTGTTATGTGTAGATCAATGTATCATAGCTTGACAATGGTTGCACCCATTTATGAACACTTCCCCATTGTGTTTAAACATCATTTTCAAAAGCCCGCTGTTGGCCCTGGCAGCCTGGCATGGCTTTCCAAAACGATTCGGATCCCGGGTTCAGCATGGGGAAGGTAATGCAAGACACCTCTAGATGATTCAAATTGACCCAAGCCTGGGTAAGCGAGTAAGTGAAGGTTACAATAATTAATGGGTCTTGAGGGCAGAAGCACTGCGCCTGGTTTCCACCTACCCCCAAACCACTACCCCAGGGTTGTAGAGCTGCCATGCGGCCAGAGGGTAGATACCGCATTTTTCCTGAAGGTAGTGGTTTGAGGGAAGAGAGTCTTGGACTCTCACATGTTCGAAAGTCGCCGATTTAACACCCCAAAAATCCATTTGAGTCACGATCGAAACCTGGCCAGCACCATGTAAATATTAAAAACACCGGATCTCAGCACCGAATGGTTGGGACTGTCCAACCTTCGTCCTGAGCTCATTTTGTTTGGGTTCTGGGTTTGTCCCAAAATAGGAGACCCTTTTTTGGTTGGTGTTGAAGGGAAACCAGAAGATCACCTGGAGTTTGTCTCAAACTGTTGAACAGGGGAACCCCTTTTGGTGGGTTTAAAGGGAAACCAAAAGGACCCCAATCTGGAGGAAGTGGTCCCTTTTCAGCCAACTAGTTGGCGCCTACTGGGCATGCGCCCGGCTCGGCCTGGGGCTGCATGTGGCCCGCCCGCGTGGCGGCTTCCTCCAGCACCAGGTCCAGCTCGGGGCTTGGGGCGCCTTGGATTTCGCGAGCGAAATCGGAGGTGGAGCCATGAAAACTAGGTCGCTTCGATTGCTCCAAGCTCCCCTGAGACACAGTGTCGACCACGTTTTGTAGGTTTCATGGAAAAGGCATCTGCTTCCAAAGGTCCTTTTTTGGGGCGCAAAAGACAACCCATGAAAGGAGTTCCACTTTGGTTCAATTGAAAAAGATACCTTTAAAAACAGCCAACCCGGATGGACCCCCAAAATGTGAGGGTTGCCCTTTGGTCTCCAAAAACTTGGGGTGTCTCCAATGAGGGAACTAGCAAACGTGGGTGGTTTCCGCGTCTAACTGTTGATTCAATCCAAACAGGACCCCCTCGACAGATTCCCATATCAACTGTATGCAGCAACTATAGCCTAAAGTTCGTTTAGTGGGCAGTTGTCCCATTGGCTTTCCCGAAGGAACCATACCCATTCTTTGACTTCCCATATAGAAAACTTCCCGGGATATGTTCGAACCCTTGTGATCACCCATCCCCCCTTGAGCTGCAGCGGGGACTCATTTATTCTAGAAAGATGAATCAGGGTTTCAATTCTTCTCACACACATGCACACCAAAGGCCGTGGCCGACAGCGGGTGTGATGCAACGATCATGCGCTCTCCAACATCTGAGGAAGAGCTGATGCAACAGCAGTGCCAGTGGACTCAAAAAGAGTCGCACCATTCTGGGGTTCCCCTAGTTTTACACACTTGAGACTTGTCACTTCCTTTTTAGCTTTGATATCGCCCCTCTCAAAAAGAAGGGTGGTTTCACCAGCTCTTTCTACCTGGTCTTCTCACCCGCTTCTCAAGTTGCCTTTCCCTCAGCGGGCCACCGCAACCAGTTGGCAAGCAGGCCGTCCAACAGAACGTTTTTGAGAAGGATCAAAGGTAGAGCAGGTGCTCCCTTTAAAGCGGGCGAGCCATGGCAAATCGTGGAGGCTGGGCCCCTCAAAAAGAGAAATTGCCCTTTTTGGAAAACTACCCTCCATTTCTAATAGAGGTTTCTTGAAGCAACAAGCCTGAATGTCGAGTTATTCACAGCATTCCCTCAAAATCTCTTTTTGGTTGGGCGGGTTCACGGCTAACTCCAACCTGGAACCAGCCCCTGAAAGGGTTCCACTTCCACTTTACCTTCTTACCAGGGACTCCCTCCTTCCCTTGGGTCTCGTTGCCATTTTCAGAGTTTGTCGGCTCGAGGGTTGGCTCCGTTTGCGGAAGGCTATCGTTCAAAGCTTGCGAACTAATGTCGACATGGGGGGGGACGCCAGGTTTGATTTGCTTTCTGGGCAGTCCACTAACACAATCCAACACACAGCGGTGTCATTCAAAACAGGCGCACTCCAATGGGAAATCCCCGACACATAGCAAAGCATGCCAAAAATGTGTGGCAGGCAAGTCAATCCAGCCCAAGGCAAAGTTTCGTGGGAGTAAGCGCTGTCCAAATGGGGAAGAATCCAATTTTATAGGGGTTCCTTTGGCTTCTCAAACCCTGGACGTCGGAGGCCATTTCTGAAATGGCCTAGTACCCCTCGGCCATTTTAAGAAAATGCTCGGCCATTTGTGGGTCTTCACCAACGGCCTATTAAGGAACATCAAACGACCAATTCTGAAATGGCTCTTAGGTATGGCATTGCTTTGCGATTCAGTGTGCTTCAGTGGGTTGGGGTTGCCTTTTGAAGGTCTTGGCCAATAGCTCTGAGAGCTTTTCAGCAAGGCAAACTACATTTTTACAAACCCTGGGCGTCCTCGCCCATGTCTGAAAAGGCCTAGGTACCCTCGACCATTCTAAGGAAACGCTGGACCATTTTAGGGTCCTTACAAACGTCTTGTTAAAATTCGAAGAGGCATTTTCCGAAATGGCTGTTGTCATGGCCCGGCAGCCAGGAGCCTTGTATGTTCTGTGAGCTTAGTCGGCTTAACGCTCGCTCTTACGTGTGCGTGTTGGCGCAATGGGCGTCTTGCAGCAGTCTCGGAGAAGCTGGAGCGTGGACAAAGCGTGGACAAAGCGTGGAAGAGCCATTTGTGGGCGTGGAAAAGCCATTTCTGGGAGTGGAACATCCATTTAGGGGAGTGGACAAACCGTGGACATCCCGCCGAATGCCACCTCAGCCTGAAAGGCACGCAAGTTAAAGTGGCGGAGCTGAATTCTACAGAGCTCAACTGCGCGACCTTTTCAAAGACAAAAGGCGATTCCAAACGAGCCTAGCTTGAACACGGGCTTGCGTGATGGCTGGACTACGGCCGCGGTAGCTTATTGGCTAACATCGAGCTCCACAAATGGTTGTCCGCTGTTCCCCCAGCAAACAGAGCTCCTTATATGTCCCCTACAAACATCGCCCGAAAAGATGTTGGAGTTGTTCTGAAGGCAAACCGAAAGAAAACTCTGACGAAAGGGAAGCAACAAGAACCTGCTGTTGCCTGGGGCTCCACTCAGCCGGCAACTGTGGGAAACAAGGCTCCCCAAAATCAAACGCGCCATTTCCCCAAACGGCCCCGGCTTCCTAGTAGCTTCCTCTTCGCCAGTGGCGAAGCAGGTCGCTTTGCCCCGGGCCAAGCCGACATGGCCATGGGTCAAAATCCAAATCGTACCCCCAGTGAACATCCCAACCCCCACGAAAATAGGCTCTCAAATGGGTGGTGAAGTCACCTACCAACCAAACTGGGAACGGTTTTGACCGCCACAGCCACATCGAACATCGATCGCGCGACGAGGCGCGCGCGGTGGCGGCGGCCCAGCAGAGCCGCACCAAGGCGCGGGCCCCCAGCGCCCCGCGGCGCACCGCGGCCGAGGCCACCAACGCCTCCACGGCCGCCCCCTGCCGCGACCGCGCGCGCTCAGGTCTCGCCGGGTGGTCTTTATTTTTTTTTGATTTGGGTGGGGGGAGACACCTGATGTTTAAAGGGAACTGAAAGGAAAACCACTCGGTTTGGGGGATCCTCCATTTTGACTGAGACACATCCATTGTTCTTTAAGAGGTGGAACTCACAGAATTATGGTTGACACCATCAGTATCACCGGTTGGCTTTGGGGGTTCCAGGCTTGGTTTAGGCCAGTTCTGGGTGGGTATAGAGTCGGCTTGGGCTGTGGTGTTGGTTTGGTTGCAGTTGGTATTGAGTTTATGGTGGGTTTAGGATTGGTTTTGCGCGTTCTTTTAGGGTGGGTTTAGTGGCGGGTTAGGGTTGGTATAAGGTTTCCTTAGGGTGAGGAAAAAGGAGTGGTTGAAGGTGGGCTTTCGGGATGGTTTAAGTGCTTGTTTAGTGCGGGCTTCGGGTTGGTTTAGGGCGTAGTTAGGGTGGGTGTTCGGATTGCCTTAGGGTGCTGCGCGGGCGCAGGTCACCGGGTGTTCTTATCAGATATGCGCTTGAGCAGGTGCCTTTGAGCTGCTCCGGTTCAGGCCAACAAAGTGTCCAAGTTTCTGAATCGGGAGCCCCAAGTTTCTGCATCGGGGCCGCAAGTTTGTGAATCGGAGGCCCAAGTTTCCGAAGCAAAGTTTCTGAACCGTCGCAAGTTTCTGACGCGAAGTGTCCGAATCGTGGCAAGTTTTTGTCAAGGGGGCTTAGGGTGGGCTTTGGATTCTTTACAGTTCATTCAAGGGTTTGGGTGTGCCTTTTAAGGTCATCAACGGGGCCCTCTCTAGAAGCAACGGCCCTAACAAGTGCCGATTACAATCAAGGTGCTCTAAGAAGCTGAGGCAAAAACGACAGGAACCTAGAAACCAAAAAGGCCAAAAAACTAAAATGCCAAAGGCTGTTACTGGTGATGCGGAGGATGTGGAAAGCCAAAGGCACAAAGCCAACCCGGAGAAAACAAAATAATAATAATCATGATAATAATAATATTTAAAACACACATATCCAGAACAAAATGGCACTCAGAGAGCAACTGCCGGGCCCTTGGCAGCCATGGAGGTTCTCTCAAAAAAGATGTGGTCCTCAAAGTGGCGGACCCCTTTTAAACTGTTGAACAATTGCCAAGTGAAACCACAAGAAAGAACACACATTGCTGCTGTCTTGACATTGTCCCATGGCACATTGACATGATGTTCTTTTTCCTCCAGCACTCGGACAGGGGTATTTCTAGTTGTTGCAGAACCCGTAGTTACCACCCAACCATTTTCGGGGTTTCATTCGCCAGCTGCGGAGTCGCACAGTTAGCAACTCAGCGGGGTTCCACTTCCTTGACCACCGTGCGGTCACCGAACTTCATGGACGATGTCCCGTATGCGAAGCCAACATGTGGGCAATTACGGTGGTAAACCAACTAGAAATCAGTAAATCCTCTGGGATGGATTGTTCTAGGGTCCTGCTTACACTCCTGCAGGTGCCATTTTGTGTGGGGGTTGAAAAGGGCAAGGTACTTAGTAGGCTGGCAGACATGACTTCCCCTTATGCCCTTCACTCAAAGGGGCAAAGTCTAAGTAACTGCTAAGTAGACCACGGTGCTCACGAAGCGAGCCCGATTCCTCTTGGGTTGACAATTGTCAGCAACAAATGTTCTTTGCGGAGCCGCAAAGAGTGAATTGAAGGGGTCGGAACTGAACAACAGCAGCGCGCCCTCAAAGGGTTAGACCCTCCCTCTCCCCGATGTTGGGAAGAAAAGCTGCCCGTTAAAGTGGCAACCTCGGATTATATAATCCAGAAAATCATGGAGAAATCCGAAGCGAACATCGGCAAACTCACATCCGATCGAGTGCATTGTCAACAAAAAGCCAAACTATTGGTTTGCCGCCAAAATGGATCCCCAAAAGTACTAAGTCCAGGAGCCCAACTGACCTTTGGCTCTACTAAGATGGTTACAACAAATTGGATAGGCCATACAGCACTAAAGTGGGCCTCATGAAGCCAGGTAGTACAAGCAAATATATGCCCCTTTCCGGCATCGGTTTCGGGCGAAGTGAACCAACTAATATAAGTGGGTCGGCTTCTTTTCAAAACCAACCAATTAACTCATTGAGGTTCCCCATAACCAAAAACACACACACACGCACCCTTTGAATGGTTGTCTTGGAACTCACGGGGTTTACAAGCAGGTTCCCTCCAAAAACGACAAACATCACAGACCCAAATGGGGATTCAACTGGAGCGAAGCCTCGGCTCGCCTGGCCGCCCAGCGCCAAGCTCCGGCTGAGCACCGCCAGCTCGCGGTTCCCGAAGTGGTCCGCGCGCCTATCGCCGGGCCCGCGGCTGTCTTTGGCCGCGGGTTTGAGGGGGTGCGGATCGGTGGGGATGGGGGGCAGGCGGAGGGGGGGGCATGCGGCCTGTTAAGCTTGATCAATGGCCAACCTGAGGCCACAGAAGCTTGATTCTGTCGCACGCTCCATTGCGCTCGACGCGGGAGGAATTTGTGCGCCTCTGAGCCTCCTCGGCCACCAGTGCCAGCGGCTCCTCCAGAGTTGGAGGATTCAACTGGTCGAAACCATGGCATGAAGCACCATTGTTTCCCTTACAGGTAAAACCCAAGCAACCATGTTGAGCACCTTGGTCTCCCCTAACCACCTGATTGGTTGCTTTAAAAATAAACGCCTTTTGATTTCTGCGTTCACTTTAAAAAGGTCCAAGGTTGGATACAAGCTTGCAACCAACCTTCAGTGCTTTTGGCTTCCCTCCAAAAATAAGGGGGCCTTTTTTTGAGGCTTCGGACATGAAAACGAAACCGTTAACGCCGTTACCGCATTGGATCTCCAAAACGGCCACGTCGAACCAGCCCCGTCCTCCAGGCGCAGCCTCGCGCTCACCGCACCGAGCCGCGCCGCCGCGCCGGGCGCCAGGCGCTGTGCCGCGAGGCGCGCCGACAGCGCCGCCAGCAGCGGCCGCGCCGCGTCGCGGAGGCCCAAGACGCAGAAGCGCTCGAGGGACGTCACCTGGGCGCTTCGCTTGATCTGCGGGTTGAAAACCGGTGGGCTTCACTTGGAAAGCCCGAACCAACATGAGCCGTATTCAGAACATGGTAGAAAAATAAGTGGTCTACCCAACAAATCCGCTGTTGTTTCGATTTCGGGGGGCCTTGTTCCCTTACTTGCGACAATCAGGGCATCCCAAACGTGACATGCTTGTGTGAATCTGCACAAGGAGTGGGAAATGGGCGCAACAGAAGGAATACCACCATTGAGCCCTCTCATGATCTAAACGGGTCGCCCTGACCATGTTCCACGCGTCTTGTTGCTCAAGGTTGCAGAAGGCACACTTACCCACCTTATCTGCCAAGGTTCACTGAGTAGGAACACCAACCCAAAAACAAACCATCACGGGAAATTCCAGATGTCAAAAGGGCGTGAAGGAGTCAATTTACAATGTTGTGCAAGAAGAATAGACATTGTTGGCGAATGGGAAATTCACACCTTCTCATGCAAATCTAGAGGTTAAAGATCCAACCCAACAGCCGAGGTATATGAGGGGGATGCTGGGTCGGTTGCTCCAGCGTCCCTTGCTGGGCCCAGTTTTCGGTCGCTCAGATTTACAACCCTTGTAGGTGCCTCAGGAACCCCCAATGCTAGGTCAAAACATTTCCAGACGAGGGGCAACACACATAGAGCCTACGAAAAGATGGGCTTTGAGTCCTAATCAAAACTTAGTATTGAAACCATGGTAGTCGTCCCAAGGGCCGACATCCGAACCTGTTTCTGGTTTGGACTGTCCCCTGCTCACGTTCCCACCCAAGCTCAATTGTGGCCCCTTCTGGCTCCAGTTGTCTACCCTTGAGGCTTGGTCATCTTTTTTGAGGCTCGGGCATCCCTCTGAATCTTGCGCACAAAGCAAAAGCAACTTTACATACCTACCTCACCCAAATTTGTCTGCACAAAAAGTGGATCGCTTTCTGCGCGCCACAAAACATAGCAACCAGGCACCGGTTTCGGGCAAGAAGCCGCGTGGTCCTCATCGAAGAGGTGAATCTCCGCCGCCACCAGCTGCTGCAAGTCCTGTGAGGACTCACGGAACGTGGATTGGCCACCAAAGTCCACACTGAAGTGGTCCCCAGCGCGTAAAGCGTCTAGGAACTCAGGGAGAGAGAGAGACTCCACATGTGGAGTCATGCCTCATTTTGGTTGACTTAAGGCCCTTATCACCAGCAAAACCAACCTCACGCGTGTTGTGATGCTGGTTCAGGACCATTTAGTGAACCTTGAGCTGCTGGTTCGATGCTTTGCCACCTTATTTTATAGCGTGACATGCCAACAACACCTCGAAACTCTAAAGTCGGAAAGGTATGGCTGGGAACCGCAAAGATCATGTTTAAGACTGAGCCCAAAAAAAGATAACCCAGTGCTAGGAGTGAGCTTAATTAAAATAAGGGCCTAAACATGAGCACGGATCCATGCTTCCAGCAACATGACTTTGGGGTTCAAACTACCTCATAACCTATCATAGTAGACCGTCATACGCATGCCTTACAGTCTTCCTCCACAACCTCTTACTGACTTCCTGAATCAGTCAAAACAAGTCTGAGCTTTCTGTTTGCCACTGAAATGATCTTCCCAAATCTTAAATTCCAGGCGTTTGTTGGGTCTGCCTTTCTTTGAGGGTGCCCCGTTTTTCGTGGTTTGAAGGGACGCTACAAGGAAAACCCACCATTCCAAGCAGTTTGCCTCTGCGGGCCTCCCGAGATTCGGTCCTCCGCACCGGCCTCCAGGATGCGGCTCTGCAGCTCACGTCGCCGCAAGCCCGCGGCTTCTGCGCCCTCCGGGCCCTCCGCGGCTCGGGCTGGGGTTGATCCATGGGGTTGGGCCAAGGCCCCATTGGCTTTTTGTAGCTTTTCCATGTTTATTATGTTTTTTGTTTTTTCCGTTTGTTCGGCGCCCAAAGAAACTTTGAAGGCAAAAGGCAAAGCCGTCAAACAAGCTGGTTGCAAATCGAGCCCGTGACAAAATGCTCACGCTTTCTGTTCTGAATATGCCAAGGGCCCAAGGGCCCTTTGGTCACTGACTGCTCCTCGCGAGCCCTCGCGTTTCCTTCACGTGGTTTCATTTCACACCTGCCCACTTCCTTTGGAGAAAGAGCAGCCGTTGCTAACCCATGGAATCTGCATGGGTTCGCATTGCTAGCCGAGAGGAAAACCATCAAGTTCGAGCCCCGAACATGCCGAGCGTGTGACCTTGGTAGGAAAGGAGCAACACACGTCTGACCGGGTTTAGCAGGGAACACACCAAAGTTTAAAGAGAAAAAGGATGCCATGCTCGGGCTCCCTTCGCTTCTCCTTCAACGAACGCCCCGAAGGATACTCACCTAAAAACAAAAACTATACGGCAACCAATTAGTGATGTTCAAAACTACTTTAACAGAAATACAATCGGGAAACCGGATGCGCTGAGTCAGCTCCATCCGTCCACTTGGCACCTCAGGAGGGCCCTCCAATTGGACGCCGGTCTCCGCACGGACCAAGGGGGTCGCGCTGTAGAGGCGCCGACGGGTCGCAAGGCCCAGGCGCATACGGCGCATGACGAAGGCATGGGGCCCAGCGAAGCCAAACGAGCTCAACACTGTCCCAGTTCCAACCACTCGAGGTAGAAAAAGAGAACCCGCTTCTGCGGAAAATGCAAATTATGTGCCTCGGGGATCCCAACAAAAAGATGGATTTCAAGGATGCCGCTGCAGTGAGGATTGGAACTCAGGCAGCAGTCATGAGCCAAGGTTCCCGCCCTAAAGGACCTAGAGACAAAGGTCGACCTTTTGGATTCTTGTCTAGATATGGGCCGAAGGCAAAAGGTTAAAAGGAATCCTGAATCCATAGGTTTTGGATCGGAAAAAACACATTGGCTGGCCAAGTTTTGGCATTCGCGGGTCTCGCAAATGGGATTCTGCGATTGGCAGCCAAAATGATGCTGCGCGATGGCTGCGTGTTCTTTTAGAGCTACCCTTAGCTTGGTTCCAAGGAAAACTGGGAAAGCCAAAACTTTGGACCCACCATTTGGTGGGTCCAAATCCCGACGCGTCAGTTCGAAGCTTTCTGTCAAGCTCTGGCTAACAAGAAGCTTGCACTTCACATGTACGCCTGTCGCTCACATCTGATGGGTGTCTTTAAACAAGGGAACCCACAAATGAATGGCTTCCCTTCAAAACCCAAACAAGCCTGCTTTTGCAAAACGGGTAGAACAAGGGTGGAATTGGTACTGCTACTGTGATGCCGGAAGGAACCTCCCCAATGAGAAGAAGCCTAGGTGGTATCGCAGCTGGACCCCTTGCTTGAAAGCTGCCCAAAACAGAGCTGCTGATTTGGGCAGAGACCTCATAGCCTTCAGCTGGGGGAAAAGCCTTCGAAGGAAGCTGCCTGGCACCTGGTGATATCCCAACCCCTCTGAGTGGATTGGGTCAAACAAACGATTTGCCAACTGTATCTTTCTTCTCGAGAACTAAAAGCAATGGGGTCTCTGCCCAAATAAAGCTCCGGGGTGGCTTTTAAGCTTTTCGGAAAAGTACGAAGTCCAGGAAATCATGGAGCAAGCCAGACGCGCGTCCTCCTGTGCCAGGACCTCCATCTGAAAGGGTCCTGCATGTGTGTTGGAGCTTTGGCAGCTGAACTCTGCTTCACCAAAGCAGCACCCCATTCATTGATCCCATGCTAAATGTTAAGCGTGGGATATGTCATAAGCACCTCGCCTTGGGCAACTAGTCGCTTTCAGGGGACAAACCACATGCCCTCGGGTTCCCTGCAGTTTTCTTTGTATGGTGCCCTTGACCTGCCCTGTGTGCATAAAAGACCCCCAGGTCAACCCGCACAAGAGGGGGTTGGCTCCCATGGGCAGCGCATGTTTTTGCAGGGGCAAGCCGGTGAACCAATAACTGAAATTGGAAAAACCAAAGCTGGGCGAAAACCACATAATCTGCCCCCACCTTCCTGAAAGGAATACATCCAAACCAGCTTGACAAGAATTTACAGCCCACATGCAAGTTGGGGTACGCAAACAATAATATGCTTTCATATTTGGCCTACCCTAACATGCAAACCAGTTTTGGAGGACCAGAAGTGCTTATCCTTTAAAGGGCCCGGCACGTGGAAGCTGGGGACGGCGGCGTTTCGAATCTCCTGGCAAAAGCTCCGTGAGGTCCTCCGCATCCATACGGATCCAGGGGCCCACGAGCCCGTCCTGAGACCAACCCTCGTGTGTTATTTTGTGAGGGGTACCCTTTGTTGGCGGTTTGAAGGGAGAAGCCACAAGCACCATCCCTTTCGGGGGTCCCCTCGAAGACACCCTCTCGTCACCTGATGCAAAGCCAATGCGCGAGGGAGCCATTGCCTAACACTGGTGACTCAGAGTGGTCTTTTTCGAGGTTCGGAGGCCCTGCAGGGTGCTCAAAGTGGGCCGTAGCCGGAGCTGGAGGGCCTTGGAAAGTTGTGAAACTACCAGGAGGATTTCAAGACAAGCAGGGGTAACACATAGAAATCCATGGTACGTCGTTTGTAATTGTCAGGGGATGTGTCCTCGCATTCGCTCGGATAGATACCCCCTATGTTCCCTCGGGGTGGTGGTTTTAAGGATAGTAGAAGCCATAATAAGAACAACAGCAGCGCAAAGCACTTGGAACGCCGAAATCTCAGATCAACGTCATCGTGCCCGCGCTACCGAAACCACCCCACACCTTTGGAACAATGTTGAGGGTCCAGCTACCGGGCCCTCTCGTGCCCGAGGCTTGGGTTGGCAAATCTTTCAGAGCAGCCCATCCCCTCCCTAATTGCTACTGTGTCCGATATATCCGATCTCCCTTTCGAAAGAGACAGCCAACTTTCTTCACAGGTGGCAGCCAGGCACAGCGATCCTTGTCGAAGGCGGTAAAGAGAATGTGACCCGGGCCTCAGAGCACAGTTTCAACAGGCCAGGCCGGGACTGTTTGATTCAAAGCCACCCATAGGTGTCCTTTTAGGGCAATAGATGGCCCTGGTAGATGATTAAACCATCGGGTAAACCAAGGCCATCTACTTTTCTACCAAAATAATCAAAAAGGACACCTGTGCACCAGCAAAGAATGGCAGTTCCTCAAAACTGGAAAGCGTTCGACCAATGTCAAGCCGCCGTTCACTTGCGCGAGACACGCACAACATGGTGTGGTCCTGGAGCTTGCTGATGGGGTGAAGTCACTGCGGGAAAGCCCTCTAAGAATTGCAACGTGCATCTCGGCACTAACATTGGCATTGGCAATTCTTCAATGCTTGCCGGATGCAAAGCTTCCGTTTCCTCATTTGCTCACGTACTTGCAGTAAAATAGCTCGCGCAGACAAGCCAGCCACAAAAAAAGAAAACAAGTGTAAACTCAACATACCCTCGCCTATGGTTTCAGAACTTTTGAGGAAACAAGGGGCACGCGGGGTTTGCTAATGGAGAGGGGGGTCATCCAACTTTCCTTGTGCATGAACCTCAGGATGCTGACCCAAAGTCTGGTGATGTTCCATTCCTCGTTTCCCCCTTCTTTTGGGGCGAAGGTCTCCAAGCCACGTCCTTGCGAAGTGGTAGCTCCGGAAGGGTCTTCCGAGCCGCCGAGTCCCCCAGCGAGCGCCCGCGGAATACGCGAGCCCTCCAGGGGCCACGTCCTTGACGCGCCACAGCCCGCCAAACTCCACCTGGGAGGGCGCCATTTCACATCTCCGCTTCCCAAGTGTTTCGGGGTTTGGGGCTGGTGGTTCGATCTTTGTGGTTTGGCGGTGTTCAAGGTGAAACCCTCATGTTCGTGAGACAGTTTTTTGGTTTGGCGGTTGAAAGGCCACCAACCAGGAAAAGTATAATTTTCAAATCGTGCCCCTCAAAACGTCCATTTCAACGAACTCAGCAAAAACATATTGAAGCTTGGTCCGACCATGGTTGTAAAGGTTCTACACACCTTCCGACGACCCTAAGAGAACAGGTAATTAGTACAACCACCTGCTAAAATAGCCAACGGGCGGGTTTGGGATGTTTTGGGCGTTGCTCGAGTGAGCTTGCCGGAATTCTGCGATGCCTAAAGTCCACAAGGGTGCGGGCTTGACGGGAAAAAAACCCAGTTTATGGCGAATCGCCGAAATCGTGGGTTTGAGGCCCAAAATGAGCTCTGAAGCCGCGGCAAGCCTGTTTTGATTGCCCCCCCCCCTCACCGAATCAGTCTCACCTCAAACGCAGAATCCCTGAAAATTGTGATTCCCCGGTCCCCCTTGATCAGTTGGGGAAAAAGTCCCTTTGTTGAGTTGGTAAGCCCTCCAACGTTTTGGAAGACGAGCCAAAGGAAACAAGCAACTAACTTGCCCGTCTGGGGCACAGAAACAATTATACTTTGCACTTGCTTCTATGTTTGATTGCAAGGAAGGCTATTATTGACTATAATTGGTTCCTATTCTTGCCGAGGCCGATTGGAAACAGGAGAACAAATTGCCTGCATGGAGAGGTATTATTTTGTTGTGTGTTGTGTTGCTTTGTTTCTTCCTGTTTTTGGTTGGGGGGCATGATCGATTCTATCAGCTACTTGAATCTGTAGGTGGGGATTGAGCCCATGCGCTTGAACTCCACCCAGCTACAGCCAGCTTTCAGACCCCAGGTGGGCCAACTCCTCTGGGCCCTGGACGAGCTCTAGGTCCCCGTGGGCATCATCCTCCATCTGATAGGCCACCTCCACCTGGCACCGGTCTTGCGCTGCCGTTGTCAAACTTCAGTTGCCTTTGGTCGATGTTTTCAATGTTCAGTGGGGTGTTGTTTCTTTTTGTGCTTGCTGCTTTATTCCTGGGGTGTGCTGCATCGAGTGCTGTTTTCCAGGTTGATTTGTTCGATTTGTGTTGTTCTCTGGGCTGTTCTTCTAAAGGAGCGAATTAACAGGATGCACACATTTAGAACAATGAATCAAGGGGCCATGATAATTGGGGATAACCGTGTCTTTTGGGCCAACGGCACATTAGAAATGGAATTCTCAAACTTGAGTGACCTGAGCTGGCAGTGCGCGACTACAGCAACTAGCCCACAGTGGAGTTCTGGGTGGGTGCTGCTCTGGCTCCACAGCTTGTGCTCCTGCCATTTGGAAAGTTCTATCCGTGCTGGAGGATAGGATGGTCGAGTGCCTTTGTGGATCGCTTTCCCCCTCTCCCGGTTCATTTACATCCCTCTCAGCGCCTGTGGTTTCAACATTT